ATGATGGTAGAAAAAAAAAAACCTCCAAATTTTTAGATGGTTCTGATATTGTTCTCACTGGAAGTCCCTTGGGGATTACTAATGCTTTGGCTAAATTTGATTTCTAGATGAAGTTGTAAGAGAAATGGATCTTTAGTGCAGTGAGTATGTGGCAGGCTTGCATAATAGCAATGGGCTTTGAATTTGGGATAGCAGGGACTCAGCCCAAAATTGGAACATGTTGGGTTGCTTTGCTGAACATCTGCCTTTGCTGTATGACTAATCGGTAATGCTAGCGCTCTGTTTTTCAATACCATATTAAGGCAGACTGGAAGGTTAAAATTCCAGAAAACACGAAGTGGATTCTCTTCATTCGCAGAGGAGTATCTCTTGGTGCCTAACTGATCAAGTGCCCTTGGCTGATGCATTTAGATGCCACTGAGGTGGTGATGATCTGTTGCACCTGTAGTCTTCCTTGAACTTAACCTCACTGTTTTCCAGTGATCCAGCACCTGTTGCCTTAGTGGTAAAACGTATTGTAGTATTCTTACGGTAAACTATACCCTTCTGAAGAATGTTTTCTACCCAGAAGAGTTTACACCTCTCTCTTCTGTAAGACCTAGTTTGCAATGTCTTGTTCTTCTTATTAGTGGGCTCTCACATGTTATTTGCAGTCCTTTGCGGTTTTAATTTGTAACATTAGATAGGAAGAGTATGAATTAAAGCCACTGAACTTTGACTACTTCTGTGCAATAAATTAGGAGGTTTGAGCTGGCTCCTAGCTTTGTGGAATACCTGAACATTAAGATCTTTCAAGAGTTAATACTGTGTATGTGTTCCGATTTGTAATTAATATATGTATCTGCACTTAACTGTGACATGTAATATTTAATAACATGAACTGTTGTCAAAAAGGATTAATAAGCAGAATAAATGCTAATCTTGGAATGATCTTCCAGTGCAGTGGAATAGTTGACTGTGAGATTGACCCTGGATAGCCCTTTGCTCGCTCTTCACCACTGGCTCCAGTGGGACAGGGGAGAGAATAGGAAGAGCAAAAGTGAGAGAACTCTCATGGGTCAAGATAAAGACAGTTTAATAAATGAAGAAAACAGGAAGAAGAAAACCAACGCATGCGATGCAAAGGTAATCACTCATGACATCCCCCAAGCAGGCCAATAGCAATGGCTCACCCCCGTCCCATCCCCCCAGAAAACCCACCTTTCCTCAGCTTGTATTGCTGAGCACGACATTATATGGCATGGAATATCCATGCTGGTCAGTTTGTGCCAGTTATGCAGGTTGTGCCCCCTCCCAGCTTCTTCCCCCATGGAGGGGCAGCACAGGGGAAAAGAGAAGGCCTTGACGCTGTGCAGGCACTGCTCAGCAATCGCCAGAGCACTGGTGTGTTACCAGCACTGTCCTAGTCACAAACCCAAAACATGGCACTTTATGGGCTGCTCTGAAGAAAATGATCTCCATACCAGCCAGACCCAGTATGTTGTCAAATGTGCGCAGAAGCACGAAGGTCAACTTCTATATCTTGCATCTGAGAAGGGTCCCACTAATGACAGCAGGGCTGGAAAGGTAAAAATCAAGACACAACCTAGCTTCTGGACTTATGCTCATGAGCAAGATGGGGAATTCAACTTGGCTCTGACAGCAGCAGATGGGCCACAAACCAGCTCAAACAACAAAGCATTAAACGGAGACATGTTAATTACTGAGATGAATGCTCAGTATCTCATTAGTGTTTTTCAGCACAGAACCATGTTCCATTTTCCTTCTGTACTGACAAGTGTTCTTGGACCTGGCAGATAATTTTTTTAATTAGGTGAAAAACTTTTCTGAAAAGCCTGTCCTAATGCTTTGAATATGTTTCAGAATTACTGGCTAAGCCCCTGGAAGAGGCAATGGGCAGACCCCATTAACTATGTCACCCTCTTCTACAGCAGCATTATAATATAATTTTAAAACTTCCAAAATCATCTGTAGAGCTCTCCAGTAAGCAAAGATCAATAAAATACTCTTGGAGGGTGAACGTAGCAGTTCTTACTCTCCAAGAGCCTGAAGAGGCAAAGTTGCTTAGCCACTGCCCCGGCTCTGTTGTTCTTTGATCCAGTATTAGCAGTCCTGAGAAAAGCTGCTTTTTTGACTACATGTTTAGGAATGACAAAGCTTTATTTGTACTCTTTTGCTCAGTTGTTTTACATAAACTCCCAACCTAATGCGAACCCAGAGAATAATGCTTTTATGCTGAAGTACTAATTGCCCCCTTCTGAAAGGATGAAACAGATACGTGTACAACACTGTTAAATGTTGAATTAAAAAGTTTGTTTTGACTAAGGACAGAGTTTTCAATGTGATTAAATTGGTAATGGCTCCTTGAGCTATTCTGAAGTCTTTTTAAAAAAGACTAAAAAATTGGAGCAAACCAGTGAGAATTGTATTTGAAATTTGACAAACTTGGAAACAATACAATGCGGCATAAAAACTCACTTGCTGTCATTTCAAGCTGATGTGCAATATTTATTGAAGTGCTGAAGGTGCTTTCAGTGTTTGAAAAGAAAAAATTACAGATGATCCCTGTACAAGGTACAGTCCAAAACAGATGCAGAATTCACAGGCTTCAAGTGGAAGATGAGGAAAGACAACTGAGGGAGCTTGCCCCAAAAAAGTGAAGTTCAGGAGAGATTTGAAGAGCTGAAAGTTACTTAGCAGGGCAAGATCAACTGTTAAAAGGTCAGAGTTTATGAACTACTCCAAATAATCTGCAATACTAAAAAAACCTCACATACTACAATTTTTGTGAAAATAATTTATTAAATTCTGTTCCATTTACTCTAATGAGGGCCTGTTGCAAGAAAGTTGCCTGTTGAAAAGTTTAAAAACCTCTTTCATCTGTAGATGCTCATCTAATCTCCACATTCCAGATGAGGAAGCAGAATTTCATAAAACTTCTAAACTAGTAGCTAAATTCAGTCATGTGCATTAGATACGATGCACTCCTGACTTACAGGCTTCTGCAGTCATTTTTTGTTCTGGAGCGTAGCAGTGGACAAGCTGACCAATTGTATTATCTCTCTTTTAGACTTCTTTTGAAATACTGGCTATTGCTCGAAGCAGGAGATTGTCAACCTGCGTGCTGACCCAGTTTGGCAGCTTTTTGGTGTGTATAACCATTCCATGGGCACATAGAAAGATTTCAGTCATTCTTTAGCGAATGCTCATCTCAAGCTGGCAGGTAGGAAATATGGCCCTGTAATTATTTTTAAAAATCCAGCTCTCTATAAATCATGGTTTTTATAAACCTCTTATAAACCTTTTATAAATAAAACCTTGTTTTTATTCAAAATATCATGATAGGGCAAGCTTTTTACAGTTGCTTACAAAGTTGCTAAAACCATTACATTAGAATGGAGCTAATGGGAGCTAAAATCCATTGAAGGGTGCTCATGTCATTTTGGCAAGAAACATTTTTCCAAAAAACAAAGCATTTCAAATGTGTTAAGATCACAAATATCTGTCCTGTTTTCAGCTGAAAGACACAGACTTATTTAGGAAGAAGGAGTGGTTTTGAAAGCTAAGGGAACACACCCAGCAGCACCTGGTACAGCATGTATTCCCCCGTTTCCAACATGGTAAAATTATGTGGTGATTAAAACCCGCCCTTTGTTTTTGCTTCTATGCTGTACCTGCATCTGGCACCCCTGTCCCTCAGATATACTTATTTCAGCACATTAATTTCTTCCCTTTTTTCTATTTTTGTTGTATTTTCACTAGGAAAAGAAGGCAGAGGGATAATGAAATCCACATTTTTATTTTCTCAGTCAAAAGGCTTATTTTGATTCAAATCTCCATTGGATGAAAATGCCAAACAAAAAAAAAATTCTTTTAGGCTTTTATTCTTTTCTATAAATAGCATAAAATAATCTATCACTCGTCATGTTCATAATTCATATTAAATTTCAATATCCTTGTGATGCAAGAGAATATTCTTATTTTAAAGATCCATCAAGTAGTGTAGTTAGCACTACTTAAAAGCTTTTGTGGTAAAAAATTGAATTTTGTATTCCTAATTATACAGTTTTCCTGGTGGGGACTATTGTAAATACAGCTCCTGGTTATTTTTAATAGCATTATTACAACTATTGTATATAACCCATCCTTTCTTTTTTTAAACACACAAAAAGTTCCCCAAGAAGAATCATGATGGAAATTTTTATCA